TAAATATTTCTCTAAGCAAGAGCCTGTTATGAACAGCATAGTATTACCCACTGTTATTCCTACTCGGAATAATGTTTTAACAAAAAATGAACCCAGGGAACAAGAATCTTTTTCAAGGGATGTCCCCTCAATATTTATTGATCCATCGAAAGTCATTAAGAAAGAAGGGGAACAAAGTCGAGGTCCCCACTATGGCATCAGGGCAGTCGTGAAATCTTCGTGGGCTAATGGTCACTCTTACATGCGTGGAACACCAGCCGACTTGAACCTTGAAAGCACGCATAATACAATGGGAAGAGATATCACCATTGGTCAGGCTACAGATCTGAACAACAAAGCAAATGGTATAGAATATTATTATGACCTGCAGAATGGATTCTTTAATAAATATAGGGAAGCTCGGACTTCTGCTAGATCGCTAATGCTGGGCGATGGAGCTGAAAGCACAAGTGCTCACGGCGGCGTTTATGATGACGAGCAAACCATGGAGGTGGCCAGAAGTGAAAATCAATTTAGCCATGAACACGACGCTGTAAATCAGGAAATGTCAGCCAGAGAACCCCAAAAAGCAGCATCTCGCGATGATCCGATTAGTTATGATGGAGCGAGGAATGACAATTTAGGAGCAACTGGGATGTCAGAATCACATCACCACATGCCAGACTTCATGATACCTCCTGACGTCCAGGAAGATTTAGTGAATGAGAAATGGCAAAGGTCTCATGGGGCTAATAATGATACTTCTTTAGATGATAGTGGTGATCAACCTACACCAGATAATATCAGTATGGACACTTTTGTGCCCCAAGTGAGCCCAGCACTCACTGCGCAAAGTGATCCTTTGAGAACCTCTCTGGTTCCAGCAATTCTAAGTAGCTCATTAAATCTTGGAACTGAGGATACCATACTGCCCAATGTCGATTTGACCTCATCTGCAGATCATACGCCTTCCACACACTTGACCGTTACCGCCAGGACCACAACCTCTACACATTTGCTGAATCCCTTTACCGTTACAAACGCAGCTGAACAGACACAGAGTTCTGATGCATTAACTGACTTAGTAACTAGTCTTCATGGGACGTGTTACCTAAAAGGAATGATGACAGAAGTGGTGTTATCTCGCCGCTACATCTTCCACGTGCCTACAATCAGCGTCCACCACTTAGATGAGTATAGAACACCCTTTGAAGTTGGCCCAATACACAGCAGCAGCTTTATGTTTTCTTTAAAAAGTTTCAGAGGGCTGCAGAACTTCATGATAACTGCTGATTGGTTTAGTATCAGTCACAATAAACTAGAGAAACAACTTGAAGACGATCTCGGTGAAGATCATCTAGCAGTTTTAGAATGTGACATTCTGCACAATGCGGATCTTCAAAGTAGAAATCGGGAAGATGAAACGGAGCAGTTGCCGACTACCACACTGATGATATATTCAAGCATGGATGACTCGACTGACCTTACTTCTGCAAGTGCATCCACTCCCGAATTAGCATCTTCTCTTCCTGCAACAAGAGAGAAAGAAGTTAGTTCAGGATTTGGACAGATAATAAGTGAACTGCTTTCAGTGCAAGACCAACAGCTTCAAAGTTCAGTCCTTGTTATAGAAACAACGCCATCCATTGATCACCACGTAAGTGAAGTTATTCAGTCTCAGCATATTGAAGTTAGTTCTCAGACAATAATAAGTCCACTTTCCATGACACAAAAGTTGACAAACATAGATAATCGTGAAAAGTTTTCTGATTTTCAAACTGAAGACCCCAATGATCGGAATCCATCATATGTGGATCAGATCTACCCGAAAACCTCCGTAGGTTTTGACCCGTATGTAGATTATATGTCCAACATTGAATTACAGAGACAAACTTATACATTGTCCACACAAGCTACAGAATCGGTTTTAATTCCTCAAGTAACTTTACCATATATTTTGCAAAATCAAGGCGAAGAATCGGAGAATATGAGCATGCTATCAAAAACCGTCACGGAATTCACGGCTAATCTGACTGCACACTCCTCAGGGTCAACTATGTTTATATCTTCTTTGGCACAAGATGTAGTCAGTTCTACTACAGTTTCAGATAATTTTCCAGCAGAGACTGTAACTCTGGAGATTTTCTTCAATGCATTCTCATTACCTTGATCAGTACAAACAATGCATCTTCTCTTGAAATTATTGCTCCTTCTTTTTATGATTCTTCAGATGCCATTACTCATATCGAGACAGCAACTATATCAGTATTATCAAATACAATTACGCAGAATGTGTTAAAACAAATACCTGCTGCAAAGTCAGCGCTAGATCTCCGAAATGAGAGTGCTTTCTTGACAGTACTGGCCCCTAATATTCCACAAACACAATCGCTTTTAAATTCAACAGTGAGTGATAACACTTTAACTGCTCCTGTTTCATCTTCCGTAGCACATGTACAGAGCACCTATCATGCTAATCTCACCCAAGAACTGATACATAACACAAACAATTCTTTTTCTA